CTTCTGATTGACGTCCTCACCGTCCCTACATTGCCTGACGGCCTGCCTGACCTTCCCTTCGTCACCTACGTGCGGGCGGTACCTTGGGTACCAACTTGGGCTGCTTACGGCCCTGTCACCGGGGTGGCACCCACCCCCCTTTCGTTTGGATTGAATTGTCAATTTCCCAACAAGAGCCTCCCTCGAACCACGACGACGACAGTCCGAGGGTTCGGCTGCGGCTCCTATGACCCAGGCATTACCAAAGTCCGAATGCCGACAGCCCAGCGCTCAGCGCTCAGTGCCCTGTGCTTCCTGCTCAGCACGGTACGGTACGTAGAGGCAAGGACGGTGACGGGACAAAGAGCAGTGTCGTTGTGCTTTGTCATAACCTCTCAGCATTAGCATTCGGCGCCGTCGCCAGGCACTGGGCGTTTTGTCCTTGTGCGCTTCGAGTGGGTTGCCCGATATTGTCAAGCGCTGGCCCAGCACCAAAGAGGGCAATAAAAGGGGGGGGGAGACTGAAAAGCCAAGACACCTCAGTTGACACAGACGCTTGGACTCTGCTTGTGGTTGTGGCTAAACGTAACGTCGGTACGTACCGGGCCTCGATCCCCGTCTCAAACGGTACGTCTTGCTCGTCTCTTTTTTTTTTTTTGCTTTCCTTCCCTTTTCTTGTCTGGTGCCTCTCTTCTGTCTGCCCACCCCTGTCTTGTCTTCTTGACCCCTGTACCCCTGCTTCCCGATCTGCCTGACCCTGGTCCTAGACCCAGGCTCCGCTGCTGGGATGAGAATGAATGACATGGTCGCTGTACATCGAGAGGTACTTGTGGGGCGAGCGCGACCAGGTTTCTGTTGTCCCATCTCGCCCATCCAGCACAGGCACAGGCAGCGAGCGGCCCTTTGCTTAGGGACCGCAAACAGTAAGAAAAGGGCAGGCGCTCCGAGGTCTAATACATAAGGACCCCTTTCCCTCCCCAGCATCCCATGAGGCTTGCCTGTTCAGATCATCCATCACCAGATACCATTGAGTCGTATATCGAACACTCTTCTCTATCACTGCCTCTCTTGCACATCAGCAGACCACCCACGCAACAGAACACCACCAGCCAGCCAGACAACCCTCTGCCACCTACAACCCGGCTTACACCACGAATTACCAGAACGACACAAAGCAAGCTCTACAGCTTCTCTTCGCAAAGGAAAAAAACCACAACCGCTCTCACAATGGCCAACAGCACCAACTTCGACGCCATGCCCGCCCAGCGTCCTTCGCAACTTCCTCCCTGCCCTGGGCCTCCTCCCAGTCGTCCTCTGCCTCCCACACCAAAGCGTGGTTAGGATGGACAGTGACGACACTGCCTTTCTTCGAGTCGACGGGGCCGCCACCCCGAAGACGACGCAGCCAATACGACCTATAAGACGACCTCTTTGAGCCTCTGGCATCATGGAGCCGTCGGACTTGAAAACTCCCCTGCTTCTTCTCTGCCTATACCCATCCCAGGAGGAAGGGGTGGGAGGGCAGACACGTTGTGTACAACGTCTCGCCGTCAGCCTGCAGCTGCCGGCACCCGACAAATGACCTTGTGCATCCCAACCATGCCTTTCCTCCTCGAACCACATTATGCACGCAATCATGCTCCGCAGCAACCATCAGCTCGCCCTTTTCCACCGAGCCGGTTTGGTTACGCCTTGCATTGCACCGCCCGCTGCATCCTCGTGGTCGAAGCCTCGTCTGCCTTTTGCCGAGGAACATGGTCCCCAATGGGGTGATCCCTCCCCTTCCTCTCTTCTCGCGCGAGCGCCCGCATGCGCATATACACAAGACCGCCTCGAAAAGAACACACAAACAGGGATCGCATCTAAGAGCCCCCGCGTCTCAAAGAGCTGGGCTCGACAACGGACTCGCACTCAACTGCGAAA